CCGATTTTGCGCTCGATCGTCGCCGTACCCGTTTGTCCCGAGAAGTAGTAGTGTGACTCGTAGATGCCGGCGGAGTCCTTGGCGATGTCAGCGAACCCGCGGCCCGTGGCCTGACCGATGGAGACGCTCCAGCCATCCGGGTAGATCATATTGAAAGACATCTGGCAAGACTTCCTCTTGTCCGCGAGCGACCCGTCCGTGGTCGCGACCATCCCGCCGAACATGAAGGTGACCGTCTTGTAGTCATTGGACAGCACATAGTTGGTGTTCTGATAATTGCAGCCCGAGCCTGCGTAGTTGACATAGCTGATGGTCACCTCGGGCGGAGCCTGCGCACTTGCCAGAACCACAACAACGACCAGAAGCAACGCCAACAGAAACGCAGAGCGCGCCATCGTCCGCTACTTCACCTTCCACCTCCCCCTGAGCGCGCTATTGTCAGCTCCTTCAGCTTCCACCTCCCTCCTCCTGAGCGCGCTTTCCCTACGTGTGCGTGTGACAGAAAGGCGGTCCTCTGAAGACACAAAAGCAGCTGCAAAACACAACTACTCGCTGCTCCACTCGTCGAAGTTTCTCCTACCAGTGTGCGTGCGCCGTGCAAGCAACCAACACGGATTGCGAGTGCGTGTGCGATGTAAGCTAGCTAGACAGTCGAGTCGATGTCTAGTCGAGGCAGCTAGGCTCGCTTTTATACACTTGCTCGCGGCAGCCATGGGGTCGTCGTGAGTGAGACAAGGCTTCGCTTCACTCTGCCGCTTTCAGCCTAATCCGTCCTGAGGCTCTCGTGTTTTCTTTTTCTCTCTTTCTTTTTTTTTTTTCCTTCAGAAAAGCCTGGAATATTTTTTCCCGTCTTCTTTTCCTTTTTCTTGTAGGAGATCTCACAAACCAAGAAAAACAAATTCTGTGCCCAAGATTACCTTTGTGTCATTTCTTTTTTGGGCGAGGTCCCAATAGCGCAGAAGAATGGATTGAGGGTGCGTTCTACGAAGAGATGCAGAAATGCAGATCAATCGCGATTTTCACATTGAGGGCATACTCTCACACACGGGACGTATGATCCCCAACCCCCCCCTAAAAAAGGGTAGCGGGCCGATCACACAGATCCGCCGAAGTACCATGTGTATTGTTGGTGTGCCCATTTTGTCAGCGAGGAAAAGGAAGTCTGCGGTTCTGACCTTTTTTTTTTCGCATTTTTTAAAAAAAATGGCAAAATTTCGTTTGCAAAAGTTATTACACAAGTTGTGGATGGCGCCGCGTGACCTGTGACCTTGTCTCATCCGAAAAGGTACAGCAGTGTGACGTGAACCATGCCCCGAACCTCAAATCGGCGCTTCTCACTCAAATCCGCATAATCCACATATTTTGGGCTTTTGGGGTCGCAGTGTGAGTATGCCCTCAAGCGTTGAAATCGAGAAAATGGAACCATAGCCCCCTGTGCAAGGATGGCAATAATAAATCGAGAAATGCTTCAGTTAAATTAAAAAAAAAAAAAAAAGTTCGGCGGTGCGGAACAACCACGTGTCTTCACGGGAGGAGTAGAGAAACCTTCTCCTCCGCAGAAAGCTTTTAGGTCAGGGCGATATGATCGACGTGTGTTCTTCGCTCGGCGTGTTTTGGCGTGTTTTCTTCTTTCGACGGGTCTTCTTCTTTCGCTGATGTGATAACGTACAGCAGTCTAGCCCTGTGCTTCTGTCTACGTGTATGTACATGGGCAATTCACATGCATACATCGGCCGCGGGCCGCTAACGGCGCGCACTTCCGGCCTTCGGGGTACCAGACGGGGACCAAAAGGGCCTCGCTGCACTACTCTCGAAATGTGCAAAACGAGAGTGAATCTTCTGCTAGAACATGGAAAGATATACCACCATGAATTTGGGCGTTGTGCATTTCGAGAGTAGTGCTGCGAGGCCCAAAGTCTCAAATTCTCGGCGCCTCGACAGCCTGTGTGGCGAAGAGGGGGGGGGGCGCAAATTGTCGACCGCCCGACCGTGGAATAATTTCTGATGACACACCTGTCGAAAATGTTCGACATTCGACAGCCTGTGTGTGATGAGCCTCTCCGTCCAGAAAGGAACAAGTCACGAGCCCGAAAATTTGCACTCGGTCACACGGACGGGCGAGGCCCAAACAAAAAGAAAGATGGAATTTGTTTGTTTTCTTTTCTTTCACGCCAGTATGACGCGTGACATCATCTTTCGAGTTCTTTCAATTCACCGTCACTACCTACCTACCTGCCACGGCAATCCAAAGAAAAAGAAAAAGAAAAAGCTTCTGACGGCAAGAAATTGAAAAGCTAAAAAGAAAATGCTGACCGGATAAGGGCTCGCTCCGCAAAAAGCTTCTGACGGCAAGAAATTGAAAAGCAAAAAAGAAAATGCTGACGGGATAAGGGCTCGCTCCACTACTCTAGACCGTGCAAAAGGAGAGTCCGAGTGAGMGAATCTTCCGCTACAACATGGAAGGATACACCGCCATGACTTTTCTCTTTTTGTGGACGTGTCGAGAGTCGTGGAGCGAAGCCCATACTCACACTATGGACTTTTTACCTGTCGGCGCGTCCGTGTGATGATTCATCCACGTGTGGACGTGACTGCACCCAACGTCTGTCATCGCCGAGTGGGACGTGAATGACATGTATGGAATTTTAGCGGGCGAACCAAGTGGGTGCCACTTGTCGCATCCAGGACGACAACATTTAGGGAGACAGGGTGAGGAAGCATAACCGCCAGACGGAGGGCGTAAAAAGGCCAGCAATCAGTGCCACGGTGGTTCATCAGGAATTGCCACGGTGGTTCATCAGGAATTGCCAGGAGTAGAGAAAAAGAGGTGGGTTTCACTCCCCCCCTCCTCCCCTCCCCTCCCCTCAAAATTCAACTTCCAGTTAAGAAAGGGTGGCTCGAACCACTTGTTCCGTTGGCACATACAATACAAATCGAATTTGACAGGTAGAAGCGGAACAAGGAACACCGTCGACACCCCTTTTCGACGTGCTTGGCTGGTAAGATCCCCCAATACACAGCTTTGGCCATCAGTCAGGGAGTGCAGTAAGACTCTGCTGTTGCTCTCTTGGCACTCTTGCCCTCCAGTGCCGCTCGCTTTTTTTTCTTTTCGTCGCTCAACAGTCCGGAAGTGATCCATATATTTCGGGCGCAGACTCTTTTTCCCCACAAGCGCGCGCAGCTGAAAGATAGGACGGGCCGGAAGCGGTCTATTGCTTCGGCACCTTGGCGGAGAAGGGAGGAGAGGGAAGGGAGGAGAGAGAGCACGTCTACACTTGCACGCCATCCCGCAGCGAAGGCAGTGCAGGAGCGATCAGTTGATTTGGAGGAAGTTGTAGAAGCGGCTGTTGAACTTTGAATCGAGGACTTCACGGCTGCCTCGGAGGAGTGCTCGAGGGAGGGCACGGCGGACGAAAGAGGTAAAGGTGGGAAAGGCGGTACAGGCTCGAGGGAGGGAGACACTGTTGGCTTTTGTTCCCGACCACCTTGCTCTTTCAGTAGTGAAGGCACTGTTGGGAGGACGTGGACGCTGATCCCGATGGCGAGAAGAGTGTCCCGATCCGTCTCGTCCATGGCGGCTATGGCGGCGCTGCTGGTACTTGCCTTAATGCAGTCCGCCATCCACGGACATGCTGCGTCCCCGGATCCTGGTACGGTCAAGATCGAGCGTTTTAGTTATGCCGGCGACGGTTGCCCACCTGGTTCCGCCGAGGGCGCGGTGTCCGATGACGGCCAAGCGCTCACCGTCATGTTTAGCCAGTACACTGCCTCGACAGACGCTGGCAGTTCCGGTCTGAGGAAGGCGTGCACGGTGACGGCCGTGCTGAGTTATCCGCTAGGTTTCCGGTTCCACCTGGTGGACGTCACCATGCGCGGGTACGCCAAGCTGGACGCTGGCGTGACGGGCACCGTTCAGACCAGTTACCATATTTCCGGGGTAAGCGGGACGACACGAGCTAAGCGCGTCATCACCGGCGCGTTCGATGACAACTTTGAGTTCACGGACAGTTTCGCTGCAGCCGTCTACAGCGAGTGCAACACGGTCAGGAACCTCAACCTCGTCTCCGAAGTGCGAGTGAATCCTGGGAACCCACCGGCAAGCGGCCTCCTGACCATAGACTCTCAGGATCTCCGGCTCACGCAAGTCTTCGCCCTCGCCTGGGAGTCCTGCTGAACCCCAGGCCATTGCCACCTTGTCGCCTCAGCACGCAGCACGCGACCCAACTAGGCTACATGCTCACGGACGGAACACTTCTCGTAGCGAGTCTTCCTGTGCATGTCCTGGGGTGCGACCGTCGGTGTAGATTCTCTATCTCTGCAAAACGCTCTACTTGTACTCGTAACTTTGTATAGGTCGGTTACTGGTAGTCGTAGCTGGTTGAGGCAGTCGAGTACTCGAAGTTCTGCTGATTTGAAGGAATTCCCATCGCTGATCCGGGAGTCACTGGAGTAGATCCCAGACGGACTAGCCAAGGCATCTCTCTCTCTCTCTCTCTCTCTCTCTCTCTCTCTCTCTCTCTCTCTCTCTCTCTCTCTCTCTCTCTCTGTGTGTGTGT